CTGTCAAGGCCTCCAGGCCCCTCGCTGTACATTTGGGGGTGCCACAGACAGCCTTGCAATCACGATGAGATGCACAAATAAGGCAGGCAGACGACGGTGAAGGGAATTATTATTGTCTCACTAGAGTCTGCGCCTGTTCCTCCCACCTCACCTGGGTGAAAGCCAAATAATCAAAGAAGAGAACGATGTCTGCCAGCAAAGCCTGTTACCTTGGGTCCTCCTGGAGGGACTATCTTCTCCAAGTAGGCGCCTTTCATTGACCTGAATTTTCCTGTCTCGAATTTCATGACACACTGAAAGCTATTGTAACCCATAATTTCACATTGTCCTTTCAAGTAGAAGCCTCGCCGAGCAGATGTGAACAATTATCCCCAATTGTGATGTTTCCTTTTCATCACATCTTCAGAGGAATAGCTAACCTGTGTGCTCAAACATTGGTTAAAACCAAACCTTAGAGATTTCATACTGTGGATTCATCCAATGGGGCTTGATATTGTTTTTTTTTAACCATGTTAATTAATCTACTTATCTACTTTATTAGAGGTGTCCATGTATTTTTTAAATCAAAACATTGTCATACTGTGCTGGGGGTGGGGTGGGAGACTTTGTCTTAGCTTTAATATCCAGAGGATTAATACTGACAAGGTTGAAGTTGTTCCAATGAAGGGCAGGTAAAGAAACTCTAGAGAAAGGCGTCAGCCTGAGCTTTCTAACTCCCAACACCAGACAATCACATCCCAGTTCCACACTCATTGTCTGGATTAAACAGAGCTCCATTCCCGGGGGACAGCAGGCAGCATAAACTGGGGTGCATTTTGCTGATAAGATGCTTGGTATTCAGACATCGCCACTGTTAGCCCAACAGGAGCCTTGCAGAAAAAGAACACTGGGATGGATTCTGCCCCATCCCTGCCCCCACCCCCCAGGACCAGAATGCCAGGGCACTGAGGAACTGGATGCTTATCAGAGGATGAGTCCTTTTGGAGCCTGAGAGGATTTGCTGAGAAGCACAGACACCCAGACAGCCAGGACTCACCTCGGAAAGTCATCTGAAGGAGAACCTATCAAGAAATGGTTCCCTCTTCTGCCTTGTTGGCACAAGAGAAAACCAGCCAGGCTTTGGACAGCCTGCAGCCTGGGCTTCTCTCCATGGCTGCAGCCACCCCAGTAAGCAGGGAACAAGTGAGCTTGGCAGCAAAGAAACCCTGGCTAGACCTCTGGGGAGGGGGTGGGTGCTGTCCACACATCTCTGATGAGAAGGTGCGCTGTCTTTGCCTTAAGAGCCTCGGCCTTTCCCTACAGTTTGCCACAGTCCGATTTCCTCTCTCCTTTATGCTCTAGCATTCTGCTCCGACACTCCTGAGTCACAAAACTAGAGTGACCCTGCGTGTCATTTTTACACTGTAACCTTAGCTGTGTGGTATTGTACAAGTCACCTAATTCCTGTTTTAGCTGTCACATTCACCTTCTTGGAGAGGGAGGATGAGCACCCAGTCAAATCTTACACTGGGAAGTCCGAGAGAACAAACAGTGCTGAACTGGTTGGTGACCAGAGCACCACAAAGGTCGGCTGTGGGGATGAATGAAGGATTTTCTACAACTGTATTGTCTCCTAGATCTGCACTTCACAAAAACACATTCACCTCTGCAAACACGGGACAAGGATAAGAAGATGATAGTTCTGGAATCCCTTTATTCTGCTCAGGAGATTGGGTGATCTGTGTGCAGATTCTCCTAATTCCACACCTCTGTGCTGATTTAGTTAAGTTTAAAAGGAACGGGAAGAATCCTGCCTCACTATCAGCTCCTGTGATTAAGAGACTCGTGGATGGAACGCAAGTAACTCTCTCTTGGTTCCAGTTCCTTTCCAGTGACCGATTGTTGCCCAGTGAAGCTTCGCGGGGCTTTTGTTTGTTTTCTTGGTTACGGGCAAGAGCCTCCAGATTGTCTCACATGGAGCTGATAGATGGATGCCAAATTCACTCCGCAGAGGCCTCCCTTTGGTTTCTCTCGGCTGCTCAGAATGTAATTTCATGCACACTGCAGACGGCCCATTAGCTCTTGGCAAGGAAAATTAAGTTTTCAAAGTTGCTCCCTCTAACAAACCTCCCCCCACCCCCACTCCCGCCCCCTCCCTCCTTCTCCCTCTCTCTCTCTCTCTCTCTCTCTCTCTCTCTCTGTCTGTCTCTGTCTCTGTCTCTCTTTGTCTGTCTCTCTCCCTCTCCCTCCCCCCCCCTCTCACACACTCAGAAACCTTGCTGAAAGCAATGCTCTCTTCCCATTAGTGCAGAAGAGACCAAACCTCCCGTCAACCGCCCTGCTCTAGTCCTGCCCACTACTCCCATGATGCCCCTTGACTCAGATTTGAATCAACCAAATTGCGTGGCCCTGATTCAAAAGTTTCCCTCCCTTTCTTGAGAGGAGCATTTATATTTCAAAATCATGTAGCAAAGGCTTTGAAAAGTCATTTGCAAACTTCCGGGCCTCTGGGAAAGGCATGCTCACTCCCAGCCTTCCCCGCCCCTTCCATGTTGGCACGGGACAGCTTCCGAGCTCACCGTGCTGCTGAAAAGGAAACAAAGACGTTTTGGTGGGGGAAGTGAACCATAGCCTGTAGGCTGAGTCAGATTCCCCCTGGGGTCCTCCTCACCCACCCACTCCCAGTACCAGATCCAAAGAGGGCTTCCTTGCCTCTGGGCATGGCCCGTGTCCTAAAATGAAGAAGCCCTTTTACATGGGGAGCCAATGCTGTAATCAAAGGTGTTGAGACATTGAAAGATTGATATTTGCCAGCAATTAGTGGGGTTCTTTTGTTTTGTTTTGTTTTGTTTAGTTTCTTTCTTTCTTTCTTCCCCCTGAGAACGTGGTTACCATGGAAACGTTGTCAGCCTCAAGTGACTGTCATGGGGTGAAAAAAAAATACTCTTAAAATAAATGATACCAGAAAAGGCATATTTATAAATCTCTTTCCAACCACCTATCTGTTCTCAAGGTAGTGTGTATGTGTGTGTATGTGTGTGTGTGTGTGTTTAACTATAGATAATCCAAAAATTGGATGACCTTTTATGACAGAGTTTTTCTTGATTACAAAGACTGAACCAAGTGGGATAGTAGGTACAGGCCTGTAATCTCAGCTCAGGTGCCTGAGGGAGAAGACAGGAAGGGTGTCAAGGCCTTCCTGGGCTACGTGGAGAGAGAGGGAGATCTTGTTTCAAAAACACCAAAAATAGATCATTTTCAAGACCACCATGTGACCTGCGTTCCCACCACCACCACTAAACCCCGGGCTTGCCCATGCTAGGCAAACACTCTGCCCCTGTGAACCCTACAGGTAGACGTTACTCAGCTGGCCTTGAAACTGTGTACTGCACTTCCGCGAAGTCAAATAACTTGTTCAAAACCAATAAAAGGGTACTTGCTTGGGACTTCAGGTACAAATTTTATGTCTGAGTTGTGCAAGTTACTTCTGGACAAATCGATAAGCTGTGATTTGATTTTATTTTGTAGCATGGGAAAAGGTCGCACAGATGAAAAACCACTCGGGCACAGAACTTGCGTTGCTCCGAGGATGCGCCAGTCTCACCGACCTCTTTGCAGACAGAAGCGTGCTTTTACTGCAGCATCGATCTGCCCAGGTCACTCAATTTCATGCCTCTCTCTTTTGACTAGAGGGTAGACACGTGACATAGCCCTGACCAAAACACAGACGGAAGTCCCTGAAAAGGAGACTCCTGGAGATAATTCTGCCCACTCCCACATCTCTGTGTAACTTGTGACTAGAGATACTGACCATCTTTCCAAGTATGCGTGGGTGACACACAGCCTTGGAAGATAAATTTACCACATCTCTAAAGCAAGAGGAGGCCTCGCTCGGAACCTTGAAAGACAGCATTTTCCTCCAGAGCAAAGGACAGGTCTGTCTGCAGCCCCTTGGGTAAGATGTGGGGTTCAGTAGCTCGGGGTTCATTTCTTCTGAAGTAGCCACTGCTTAGGCCAGCACTTCTGCAGGTCCACCTACAGCCCTGTAGTTGTCAGGCCTCGAAGGACTGTCTCAGACATGCTGGTGTGTGGGTGGGTGTGCATGCATGCTGTATATATATGTGGCGTATGTGTTGTATATACATGTGTGTGTGCATATGTGTCTGTGGTGTATGTATATGTGTGTGCGCATGCATGCTGTATATGTGTGTATGTGGTGTATGTGTATATGTGGTGTATATACATGTGTGTGCATTGTATATATGTGTGTGCATATGTGTGTGGTGTATATGTGTGTGGTGTATGTATATACGTGTTGTATATGTGTGTGTAGTGTATGTGTTGTATATACATGTGTGCATTGTATATATGTATGTGTGTGGTATATGTATGTATGTGTTGTATATGTGGGGGGTGTATATTTGTGTGTGGTATGTGTGTATGTGTTGTATATGTATGTGTGTGGTGTATGTGTGAATGTGTTTTGCGTGTGTGTGCATGTGTGAGTGTGATATATGTATGAGCATCAGGTATCCTCTTTATCATTCTCTGCCCCATTCCTTTGAGGCAGAGTTTTGTCATTGGACTTGGAGCTCCTATTTATTTTTCTGGCAGGTAACTAATGAATTCCAGTGATCCTCCTGCCTGAGCCCTTTAGACTAAGGTTATGGCTGTACATGCACCTAGATTTTCTGGTCCTACTGCCTATGCAGCAAGCACTTGTAATCCATGAGTCATCACTCCAGCACTGCCACCCCACACACAAAGTGATCTAATTCAAAGGGGTATAAAGTAGAGCTCAGAGACGAGAAAAAAAGTGAGTTTTTGTTTGTTGTACAGTTCCTGTGTAGATAAAGAAAAAGTTCTAAAAATCATGATGATCATGCAGGAATGTGTTTAATGCCAATGAATTGCACACTTAAGAAGGATAAAAAAAATGAAGGTGGGCGGTGGTGGCACACGCCTTTAATCCCAGCACTCAGGAGGCAGAAGCAGGAGGATCTCTGTGAGTTCGAGGCCAGCCTGGTCCACAAGAACTAGTTCCAGGACAACCAGTCTTGAAAAAAAAAAATTGAATGATAAAAATTGCTAGGCATAGTGGTGCACAGCTTTATCCCCAGTTCTTGGGGGACAAAGGCAATCGGAGCGCTGTGTGGGTTCAAAGCCCTCTTGCTCTACATAGCAAATTCTAGGCCAGCCCAGAAACCTTGTCTAAAAACAACAAAAGAATGGTTCAGATGATAATATATTTATTATTGTACATATATTTATCACAAAAAGTTCTAGGGCTGGGGAGATAGCTCATAAAGTGTTTGCTGTGTATGCATAAGGGCCTGTGTTTGGTCCCCTAAATCCAAATTTAAATTAAAAGCAACAGCAACAAAGGGTGTGATGATATATGTTTGCAATTCCAGCCTGCAAGGTGGACACAGGAGGATGCCTGGGACTTGTGAACCATCCATCCTAAGCCTCTGTCAGAGATAAGCCCTACAAGATAGCTGGCTTCTGCGGAACAACAGCCAAGATTGACCTCTGGTTCCCACATGTATGCACATCCATGTCCACCAGATAAACATGTACCCGCTACACACACACACACACACACACACACACACACGCACGCACACAAACAACACACATGCATGAAGTCAGCCAATCTCGAAGAGGAAGGCTCGGTAGGCTCTGTTTCTATGAGGGAGGGAGAAATGAAGTTGATTTTTAAGTCTTTATTTTGAGTTTATTTTGGGGTCTTCTTGCTTTGCTGCACACCTGTCTACTGGTGGAGCAGAGCAGCCAAGACACAGACCACGGATGCTCTTAGGTGAGGGTCAAGTGATCCCCAGCGGCATCTACCTCTTCTGGGACTTTTCTTACCTATCCACTTCACTTCAACCTTCTGCTCTTAGGAGTAACGTTGGAGCATCCTCCGGTCCCCTGAGGGTGTGTGAAGCCAGAATTGGTGGATGGAAATATTATAGGGTTCTTTCCATCCCTATCATCTGTTTATTTTCCTTCCTGTATATTTCATAACGTGGTGTAGAGATTTCTGATTCAGCGGTTAAAATAGCCTGTGTGTTAGTTATCACTTCCCCGTGACCCACTTTAGACCCAATTACTCATTCTGGCGTTTGGGGTTCGAGTTTCAAAAAGATTGTACTCTGCAACTGAAGTATGTGTCTGGAGGAGAAAGGGGGGCTGGAGAGGACAGCGACAGAATGCCTGTTTCTGTCCCATTCTCCTGCGAAAGCTCTCACGCTCTACCCTCTCCAGTTACCCCACAACTAACACTCAATGTTTCTCCATCCTCACTCTCATTTCCCTCCTGGGTGCTCAACTGGGACCCCAGTGAGACAGGTGCCTGCTCCTGGGAGACTCACACCAGGGAGCTTTCTCTCCTACTGTAGAGTCCAGCAAGAGTCTGGAGCAGGAATTCCCATCCAGTGGGCCGGCACTTGCAGACGCTCCCCGGATAATTCTGAGCTGGACCCTTGGGCCACATTTTTTGAGTGACACACTGTGCCTGGGAAAAGGAGCTGGACGCTATGCTCCACGGAAGAAACCGCGAAGACTGAAGGAGCCCAGAAAAAGGAGACACTGGGGTAGTCTGAGAGATGAGGGGAGAGGACCCTGCGCAGATGCGGAGGCACAGTGCGTTCTGTGGCGTGTGGCCTCTCCTCACGGAATGTAAGGCTAAGACTTTGGGGTCCTGCTCTTCTCACTGACAGCCTTGCAACACGAGGGATACTATCCTCTGCGAGGGTTCAGGCGAGCAGTGTAGATCTCCTGGTAGCAGAGGTCCTAACAAGGCCTCGTTCCACCAGTCCTGGGTGATGATAGTATTATGATCTGCTCCCAGGGATGGGTCAACATGCACACTCAGTACACACTCACTGTCCAATACATGATGGCTAGTGTTATTTTATTATTCTAGAGCTTTTATAGATTCCTCAAAATGGGATTGCTGGATAAAGACTCTTGTAAGAATTACTGAGTGTTGCTTGTAGAAATTGAGTGTTATGGGGGGGGGGGTGCACACCTTTAATCTCAGCACTCAGAAGGCAGAGGCGGTGGGGGGGGGGGACTCTGAGTTTGAGGCCTGTTTGGTTTATAGAGTGAGTTCTAGGACGGCCAGGGCTACACAGAGAAACTCTGTCTCAGAAAAAAAGAAAAGAAAGAAAAGAAAGAAAAGGAAAAAGAGAAAGAGAGAAAGAGAGAAAGAAAGAAAGAGAGAGAGAGAGAGAGAGAGAGAAAGAAAGAAAGAAAGAAAGAAAGAAAGAAAGAGAGAGAAAGACGATTTTCCTTTGAGTTGCTTTAGTGTCTTAGTTTGACCATGGTAGATAAGGACAGCTGTGAACATGTGATCCTGGGTGCCTGGGAGAACGGCAGCCACTGTTTTCCTTCTCATCTTCCTCTTCCTATTACTCCAACTTCCTCTGCCTTACTGTTATCTCTCCCTACCACACACACGTACGCACCTGCACGTACGCACGCACACACACACCTGGAAATTCCTTTAAAATGACATCTCTTCTCCGGAAAGCAGATTACAATGCAGTTTCCTGAAAATGCGCCTGGGCCTTTCACTCAGCCCTCCTCCAGCTCATTCATCCAATAACACCTGGCCAGAGGCAAGAGAGTTAGCAGGACCCCGGTGGGGCAGCCATCACAGAGCCACAAGCCCAGCATCAGAGGGGTGGCTGGAGGGGTGACGATACCTAGAAACCACGTCGGGAGAGGTCAGATACTTGGGACTAGAGAAGCGAACCGTCAGGTCTCCAGCTGAGCCTTCCATCCCAGCCGGCTCTCCTGGAAGGCAGCTGCGGAGGGATGGGCTGAGAGCCTTGTGGGATTTGCCTCAGTTGCATGAATGCCCGTTGCCAGGCAGAGAGAAACAGACTGCAGACTGCCCCTCTGCTGTGCCTGCTTACCTTGGCATACGTCTGGCACCAGAAGGCTGCCGTTTAGGTTGGTGAGTGCCAAGCTGGTGAGTGAACCACCCTCTACGATCTCAGTTTGGAGTGAATCGTTGAAGTGTTTGCGCATGAAAACTTTCTTTCCTTGATTAGCGTATTACACGGCTGCATCGCTCTTGACAGCCGGGCTGTTTTTAAACAAGCTGAGGCCCTCCGCCCCCACTACCCCTAGCATTCCCACCATCCATGTTCCTACTGTAACTGAAATCTACTGTTTTGGAAAAATGCTGTGAGAAATTCCCTGTTCCTGAAATGCTGCTTTGTTGCTTTGGCTTTCCCTAAATTCCTCAGTTCCAATTTATGGCAGACACCTCACCCCCTCCCACCCACCCCATCCCACCTCACGCCCTCCCACCCACCCCATCCCACCTCACCCCTCCCACCCACCCATTCCACCTCACCCCTCCCACCCACCCCCACCCACCTTACCCTCCTGTGAGTCTCTGTCCAGTTTAGAATGTAAACATCACATTGAAATCCAAATCGGAAACCCACGAAGCTCAGAGGGGGCACAGTTCACGTACTGGCTGTGCAAGAAGCATGAGGACTTGAGTTCACGTCCCCCAGGGTCCATGAACAAACCAGGCGTGATGATGTTTATCTGTAATCCTGGGGCTGGAGGAGGTGGCAAGTGGATCTCAGGGCCTCCCCGGCCAGCCAGTCTAGCAGAAATAGTGAGATCCAGGTTCAGTAGGAGACTGACTCAAAACATAAGGTTGATCACCAGCTAAAGACATTCCGATGTTAACTTCTAGCTTCTACACCTCTCTCTCTCTCTCTCTCTCTCTCTCTCTCTCTCTCTCACACACACACACACACACACACACACACACACATTAGAAAAAAACTTTTCTTTGGCTCAAAGAGATGAAGCCAAAGGGAGAATGCCCAGCTTATCGCCAAGGATAAACACAGGTTGACAAAGTCTTGTGTTTGTTTTAACTACAAAGAAATGGGGATGAGGAACCAACATGAGAGCCAGGCCGCCTAGAGTCCCCCTCAGATCCACTTCCCCTAGAGTCCCTGACAACCAACACTGCTCAGAGCAGCTTGAGCATGCTGCTGAGACTGCCAACAAACCCGCCCAAAGGAAATCATGTCATTTATTAATAATGTCATATTCCTTTTCAACAGAAAAGGCCAGGGAGGGAGAAACGCCACTGTGGTGACAGCTATTTGAAGATGTGAAGTTTCCAAAGACCTCAGTGCTGGGACATTCAACTCCAGGGCCCTACTACAGGGCTGCCAGGATAAATAGGAAAAAGGCAATGGGTTCAGAAATGCCTGGTACCAACCAGAAGGTGAGCACCGAGTGTCCTCACTGTGAGGACTCAGAAGCCACAGTACCCAAAGAGACTTTGGGATGCAACTCTAGAGAGGCAGAAGAGGGATTCTTGTGGGGAGGGTGTGTGTGTTTTATCTTAGTGAGTTCAGGGCCTTAGTAATGGGGTTTCTGCAAGATTGAAAACAGCCAGTGCCTCCTCCCTGAACCCCGACTTGTCCTGGTTCTCTCTTCTGCTTTCATACCAATCCTCCCTTAGTGCTCCTCACCTGCTTCTGCTTCCGATTGCTCCAAGACTACTCAACACTTCTCTTCCGTAGCCTGGACCTCTGCATCCTTCTGGAGCTGTGTCCTCCCTGGCATCTCACAGCCACCTCAGAACCCAAGCTGCCTGCTGACTGAACCCTGCTTTCTACCTAAAGACACCTCTGCCTGGATGTTCTTACCTCAGTCAGCGGGACTAGGGACCTTCCACCCATCCCATCACCTACAAGCCTTGTCCACACTCCACAGTTTGGAAATTACTAATCCTCTCAGCTTGACTCCCAAGCTACCAGCCATTATGACTCATCTGTCCTTCAGTCTCTCTGGCTGGGTAAATATTAGCACATGAAGAGACCACTGAAATCATTCTCTTCGGCCCCTCGGGAGTGACTTTAGCCTCTTGGGTATATGTTCAGCCTCTTTGGGAGTGTCACAAATCCCTCACCAGTATTCACCAGCCCTTCGGGCTTGCTCTCATCCACCTCAGGAGTGTTCTCAGCCCTTCTGGAGTGTTCTCGGCCCCTCGAGAACGTTCTCAGCTCCTCACAAGTGTTCTCAGCCTGTGTGGTGTGTTCTCAGCTCCTCCAGAGTGTCCTCAGCCCCTGAGGTGTGTTTTTAGCGCCTCCTGAAAACAGCTCTTCAAGGATGCTCTTAGCCCCACTAACAGTTTGTCGGCCTCCTTGGGCACGTTCTCAGCCTGTTGGGAGTATTCTCAGCCCTTCAGGTGTTTCCAGCTCCCCCAGGTTGTCTGTCCTGCGCCTTCCACCTCTAGAAGGTGACAGCTGGATATTTCTCAGGTGAGAGGGGTGCACTCCCTTGTGTCTTTACAGGTGAGAGTTGCAGAATTGGGTGCCTGCAGTTGATGCTAGCTTGTCTTTGGTTTCCTGCCCCACTAACCCTCAAGGGTGTCTTTCTTCTTTGTGGTTAGCTCAAGACTACCACGTGGGTTCTTCGTTGCTAGCCTCACACCCACATCCCAGACCGGAAGAAACAACTGCCAGCATCCCTGTCTAGAAAGCATCTCTTTTCCAGAAATCCTCAGAAGATTTCCCTTAATCTCACCAACCAGAGCTATGTCACAGGACATCCACAGCTAAGGTTAGTCCAAGGCAAACAGCTAGGAGAGTCTCAATTCTGACCTGGAAGCACTCACTCCCCGGAAGTGTCTGCCTGTGGGGACCAAGAAGAAAAGAGATTGGTAGTGATTAGTGCCCTCCTCATGCTCCATCTAAAATGGGGTTAGAATTTACCTTGGTGAGTCATTGGATTTCAGAGAGTGATGTGGGAATGATTTCTTACTAATAAAGAAACTGCCTTGGCCCATTTTATTGGATAGAAAATTAGGTAGGCGGAGTATACAGAAGAGAATTCTGGGAGAAAGAAGGTTAGAGGAAGAGTCGCCATGATGCTCCCACTCCAGACAGACGCAGGTTAAGATCCTCTCTGGTAAGCCAGCTCATGGGCTACACAGAATATTAGAAATGGGTTAGAACAATATGTAAGAGCTAGCCAATAAGAAACTGGA